AAAGTATATCACTGCACTGGGTGACCTTGTTACTTTGCTATAACAATACCAAGAAGGCTATAGCATTGTAACACTATCTGGTATTAAAAGACTGATAATACCAAAAAAAGTATAGTGTTAAAAGTAATAGAATAGAGTACTAAGGTCTGTAAACCTTATAAAAAAGTAATAGAGAACTAATTAGAAAGATTTTACTTAAGACATGTATTGTGTTATAGCAACACCCCAAAAGATGGCATAAAATACAGTCATACCTGGGCTATATCTTCACTGGGCTAAATCTCCTCTTATTTGTTACCTTAGTTATATCTCTATATTTAAACAGAATAAGTTTTCTTTTTTTATATGTTTTATATATTGAGTTATATCTTAACCTTAGTTATATTTCCAAAAAAATTCAAAAAAATTCAAAAATATATAAAGAAAAAAGAGATGATATAACCCAGGTACGACTGTATAAACACAATAGTAACAGACAATATGTACTAATTAGAAGGAAGTTATCAAACAGGTAAGCACTATTATGTGTAAAACATGTAATGTATTATCAGGTTTACTTCAAGAATAAATAATTAGTCTTAAGTTGGTTGCAAAATCTAAACATTATATAGATCCATGTTTGAGATTGTATCATGGTTAGAGGTTCCCATTGGGTTGGAATTAGATTATAATCAGAGGGTTTAAATAAACACCCCATAGTTAGAGCATAGATACAACAAATAGTATAAAACTCCTAGCATAGCGCTAATGCTTTGGGCAGACTACTTAAATTAAATACCAAAAGTGCACATGTGGCTTGATGTATCCTCATTGTAACTGAAAATCAAACTTCTAATAAAATGTCACCAACCAAGAGAACAGTAAAAAAAAAAAAAATGGTGCTTATAAAAAGGGTGTAATTATATAGAAGGTGACTATAGAGAAGGAAAACTGTACATCAAATCAAATTTGAAAATATCCCAAACTATTCTCATGCTTGACTGTCTAATAAACTTACTTTTAACCTATATAATAAAGATTTGAAAAAAAATAAAACACATTTATGTAATTTATTATTCTTCGCTAAACAGAATTCTGTAACAATTTATAACCGCGAAATAACGCGCAGGGGGTAATTTCAATTTTCGGCGTTATTTCGCGGTTATACGGGTATATATTAAAATGTCATTATAACTAGTTCGAAAAATATATTTTGCTGTAATCGCAGTAAACCACACACGTCCCTGGTGTAGACAAGGAGTAATGTCCGAAAGTATAGGGTAATATAACGACAAGATATAGATGTACGTTTATGTCTTTGTCGGAGGTAAAACAAAAGATAGATACATATGAAGCTACTGCATCACGCACCAGAAGATCTCGTTGGTTTATATGTGGTGTTATGCGCTGACTCAGAGACGCAAGATTACCAGATCGACAATTTTGTACAAGGTTTACTGTTTAAATATCATTGTCATATCCAAGAATGTTTTCTATGCTACTCTAAAAATGATCACATGCTATTTTTGCATCTATAAAATTATCATTATCAATTGGTATAAAGAGTAAATTTGTACAACAGACTTTTACGTGTACATATTCTCACTTGGGTCCACAAAAAATATGCTATAGATAGACGAACAGAAATTTCTTTTTGAAGTTAGTTTTGTAATTCTTAAATTTATAACTATGGCCTCTTCGCCGTACAAAGTCACAGTCGGAATAGGTAAACGATAAATCTTTTATAATGTATATCTTTGAGTTAAAACTTTGTCATAATTCTCCTTTTTTTTTTGTAGATTTTGGTACCTTTACAAGTACATTCGCTTACTGTAATAACTGCGATGTTAATTCGGAAATAGTGACAAACGATACATGGTCTGAACAACGAGGTGTTTTTAAAACCGATACTGTGTTACAATATGATGATTCATTGAACGTTGTTACCTGGGGTATTGTACCCAAACCTGAAAAAAAGAAAAAGAATAATCCAATTAGGAGTTCCAGTGTTATGGTAAATACGCGTGCAAGCAAAACGTGGAGTCCAGAACCTGCTCGTATTTCCAGAACGACTAGCACTGGCATGCTTAATGAAAGTAGGCAAATGATCCTTGCGAGCCTGTTTAAAATTCATCTAGCAAACGTGTTGGAGGAGGATAAGCCTCCGCTGCCTGTAGGACTAGATTACAGAAAATGTGTATCTGATTATTTCTCAGGTACTTCCCTGAAATACATATGTTAGAGCGTTAAAATTTTTAAATGCAATTCATTTATTAATCACTTCTTTCCACTTAATTGAGGTAGAAATGACAAAGGTACATATTATTGCGCGATCATTAAGTTTTGATCATGAATTTAAGACATCTATCATAATTTATTTTATTTTATTTTATTTTATTTAGTTAATTAAAAACACTATTTCAACAAGATGGCCAGGTGATATTTTATTTACATATATATATGCTGTACATCAAATTAAAATTTGCATCAGATCAAAAATTAAATACTGTAGAATAATGGTGAAAACTTATGGTAGAGTAAAGTTAGCGAGATTATAATTATTTGATCTGACGCAGATATTAATTTAATGCACATCATGCTGTGACCCAAATTAGAGTTATCTAAAATTAGAACTTTATCTAAATTATGCAGACCAAATTAAATATTTATATGTATATATATTTAACCAGTGTTTGCAATTGGACAATCTGGCTAATTAATATCAATTAATATCATTTTGTTGGTCCAATTGTCCAATTAATAATCTAATATCAATACATTGGTTAGTTCTATTGTCCAGTTGCAAACACTGTATTTAACTATAAATTATAATTTTGGTCCAGAATTTAAATAATTACAGGCAGATTCCAATTTGGGGTACCAAATATTTGTTATTATGGCTAGTATATTTATCATTTTATTTTCTCTATTGTAGGAGTCAGCTTTTACCGAGATGTTAAAATTATTATTACGGGTGTGCTTATAAAATTTAATTTTTCTGAAAGAAATTAAATGTATAGCCTTTAATTTATTTATTTATTCGTTTTACTTATTTATTATTATTATCTACACAGTTCCATTAAACTTTTCAGAAGGTGCAAAAGATATTGTTCGTTATTGTGTTTCGGGTACTGAACTCGTGGAATCGGCAACTTCACCAAATTTAGAATTTATGTTAGAATGTATGAGAATTCACATTTTTGACATATATCGGAAATCTATAATTGATAACGTGATTCGAGGTTAAGACATTTCAAACTAGAGATTGTATCCGTAGAAAAAATTGCTACCCGGATATTATTAAAGTATCCGGGTTACTCTGGTAAATTCATATATATTTCTCTATCTGGGTACAATGTCTATTTCAAACGCTATTCTTTTACACAAAAGTAATTCCGAAAGAATAAATGGATAACTTTGTAACGTGAGACACGGCACTATAAAGTTATCAGGTGTTTAAAGTCGACAATTTTGTTTCTTTAAAAATTACGATATTCAAACTCGATTATGGATTTCCGACACAGTATTTTTTTTTTTGATGTATAGATTTTAATATAAAATTCTGTATTTTAAACATGCAGCTACGGCTGCAGCTATTTATTGCTTAAACAGTTTAAAACAAGTGAGATTACATCCAAATGGTATATATAACTTTATTTATCTTTTCATTTAGAATTGTTTACTAATATTATTTTTAAATCGTTAATATCATTAGCCAACTTTATGCTCGTGGACATTGGTGGTGGTACGATATTAGCTGCAATATATAAACTTGTCGAAGATGGCAAAAATTGCGAATTAGTTGAATATTCTAGTAATTTGTGTGGCAGTACTTATATTGATAAAGAATTTATCCGGTTTCTTTGTGAAAATTTTGATTTATATGATGCGTTGCAGAGATTACAAATTCATAACTATGACCAAATACAATATCTTGCCCAGGAATTCTGCAGAAAAGCAAAATTGCCTTTTACTTCTGATCCATCAGCTTTCAAACCTATAAATATAGATTTAGAGGATTGTTGCCCAGCGATTGTAAAGTATGTGACTGGAGATGTTAGAGAGCGAATGATAGAAGCTGAATGGGTGATTGAATTGGATTATGATGATGTTAAAGCAATGTTTGATCCAATAATTCAAAAAATTATATCTCATATCGGAAATCATTTATCAACATCAAGAAGTAAATGTGAAGCCTTGTTTCTTGTTGGTGGAGGCAGCGAAAATCAATATATACAAGACCAGATAAAAATGGCCTTTAATCAACATTTTTCAATGATTGGAAGTCCTAAGCAACCAATTACCGCTATAGTGCGTGGAGCTGTACAATATGAGTTAGAAAAGTACAGGAGAATATCAAGCATGTCAAGTGTATCACGTGGATCTGAACAGTACGGATTAAATTATATGCAAACTGCGAGGATAAATGCGAATATACATGCGAATATACCACCAGTACAATACGGTGATACAAATAAATTACTACAAAACATGCAGAATATATCACGGGACTTGGTAAAAAATCCAAGTATACCAAATGAGGGTCCACTATATGGATTAGAGAATCAAATGCAGAATATTGACATATCACAAGAAATAAACCCTTTCACTCATCCATTTAAACCGGGTTCAAGAGAGCTGAAATACACATATGGAGTTCAGGTTGTAATGAAATGGAAGAAGGGTGATCCGCCTGAGCGTAAAACTAAAGATGGCCTTATAAATGTTTTTTATACATTGATAAAAGCCAATACTGTAGTTAAGGTTGGTCAGACGGTTGGATATGTTGCAAGACCATCTGACCCAAATCAAAGGGATATGACTTTTAATATTTATGTCTCTCCGGAAAAAAACCCAAGATTTTGTGATGAACCTGGGATGAAACATTATGGAACTCTTAAAGTTGATCTTGCAGACTTACAACTTGGAAAAAAGCGACTCGTAGAATTTTCTTTAGTTTTTGGCATATCAGAAGTTAAAGCTGTAGCAAAGAATAAAAAAACAGGGACGGTCTATCAAGCTACCCTGAGTCGATGATTAAATTATATTCATATTTAAATATAAACTAAATATATATATATATTTTCATAACATGTATTATTAGTCACATCTACATTAGTTGTATTTATTTTTCAGCTTTCCGAAATTAATATACGATTATTAAGGGAATTGAGTCTGTGACTCCATCTCTTTTTCAAATTCTCTCAATAATTTGAAGTCTTCCATGTATGCCGCTATAAGATCTCTGTGCACCTATAAATTAAATTATAATTTATTATAAACCATTTTGTTAATCAATTTAATCTAATTTAATTTACCTGTGTTGGAGTACGTTGTGTAATTTTGATATTTTTTGCTCTGTAAGATTTTCTTCGACGTTTATAATCACGTTGTTCGGCAAGGAGCTCAGTACGCGACTTTTGTCCTTGATTTTCTCCTTTACAAATAAAATCAGACATTGTGAATCATACACACATCTATAGATTTTCAATATTAAAAAATGAATATAAATATATATACCCTTTTTTTTCTGAACAGCTTTCCAAACTTCATCGAAATTTTGATATTCGTCGCGCTTTTGTCTTTGATTTTCTTCTCGAATTTGATTAGAAATCGCGATTTCCCTTTCATATAATTCAAGTCTTTGACTAACGGTTAAACTTTGACCTACACCAAGATTCATAGATCCATCTGTAATATTTTGTTGCGATTACTTTGCTTTGATCTTTAAATTCGGTATTTCAGATTATCAAATACGCGTAAAATTTCATAAAAAGAAAAATAGGTAATTAAGACCTTTAGTCAAAGTTATTACTGCAGGTGCATTCTCGTAAAAAAAGGTTGAACTTGGTAACTTTTTTCGCTGTTTACATGATAAGCAGCAATAATTATTAGTACTTAATATTGAATTCAAAAAAAAGATTATAACGCGAATATTATTATTATAACCTTTCCACATTCAGTAATTCCATGATATTTTAATTCACATCTTCTATAATGTTTCTCATAAGATTTTGTAGGGACTTTATGAGCGGAATTAAAAGGACACGTTATTGTTGATTTGGATTCCTATTTAAAACGTATATTAAATATTTATTCAAGAATTTATAAGAACCTTTCTAATTCAAAACAATAATAAAAAAACCTGTTCATGAATTTTTAAAGATTCTATATCCCATGAAAGGTCACTTAATAGTTCTTCAAATTTTTTATAATAGTCTTTTAACTGATTCTCATATGTTTGAATTAATTCTTGACGTTCTTGAAGATTTATTAGAGACATTTTTACAAGTTTTCTTTACATATCATATGATAATCATTACACATCGGCATTTTTTATATCGGATATACAGATAATAATGAATATCGAAATATTGCTTTCGTCATCCTTCATTTTTTTCTTAGAAAAAAGACAAAGAACATAGTCATAATATTGATGGAGAGGATGAAAATGGTTCCGCTGATAAATTACGACTTAAACAAGAAAAAAAAAATTTTGAAAAAAGCGCAGCTAAAAGTAGTGAAGGTTTAGCTGTCGAAGACACTCCCGCTACTACGGCAGCCAAACACAAGAAAAAGTCAGAATGCTTGTAAATCAACTGGCTATTCGTGAGGCTATACAACCTCAGCCAAGTGCCAGTAGCTCACAAAGACAGAAGGATATGAGTTCTCATAAGTTTTGGAGTACTCAGCCGATGGTAATTTCCATTCAACATTTCAAATCGCTGTTATATGCAATTAAGTTATATTCTTGCTATAAGACAATAATTTAATTTTAGGAGAAGTAATTAATGATAATGGCCCAATAGAAGAGAACACCCCATATGATCAAATCCGTAAAGATCCGTACCTTTTACCAAAAGAATTTGAATGGTCAATTTTAGATTTGAAAAATGAAAATGAAGTATATTTGAATTTAATTATATTTGGCATATTTTATCATTCGTGGTTTTTAGCTTCATGCATTCCGGATTTTCACTAGCTAAACGAACTGTACACTCTGTTAACAAATAACTATGTCGAAGATGATGATGCAATGTTTCGTTTCGATTATTCTGGTGATTTCTTGAAATGGTGCACATAAATGTTTCCTAATCTATTTATTTAAGTCGTATATTATACATATTATTTACTCTTGATGTTTACACTCAGGGCTTTGCAACCACCAGGATATAAGCAAACGTGGCATGTAGGCGTTCGTGTTAGCTCCACAAAACGTCTCGTTGCTTTTATTAGTGGAATTCCTGCTGACATTAAAATTTATGATTCGTAAGCTTGATCAAACATTGTTAATTTTAATGTTTTAATAATAATATACGAATATTTATATATTATAGATATCAACACCTTGTTGAAATAACCTTTCTCTGTGTTCATAAAAAACTTCGGAGTAAACGATTGGCACCTGTGCTAATTAAAGAAATTACGCGACGATCTCATCTTGAAGGAATATTTCAAGCAGTTTATACTGCAGGTGTTGTCCTACCAAAACCAATTTCTAAAGCTCGGTATGTTTCTATGTAGTCTAGTTATATCACTAATAGGCTGACGCTAATATTACTAATATTGTTATATAAAGATATTATCATCGCTCTCTCAATCCTAAAAAATTGATTGAAACGAACTTTTCACGCTTACCTCATAACACTACGATGTCGCGATTAATTAAAAAATTCAAATTACCATCCGAAACATTGACACCCGGGATCAGACCGATGCAAGAGAAGGATGTTTCTGCGGTTAGAACTTTATTGAATGAATATATGAAAAATTTTAATTTTGTCGCTGTATTTAATAGTGATGAAGACGTTAGACATTGGATTCTGACAAAAGAAAACGTTTGTTTGGTCTTATGTTGTTGAGATAAAGAAAAGAATTCGTTTTTCGTTGATTCGTATATAATATCGAACTTTCAGGATTTACTTTATTTTTTCTTAATAACTATCACTATTTAGGACCCTCTCACGAAAAAAGTGACGGATTTCTTTTCTTTCTATTGTTTGCCTTCATCGGTAATCGGAAATCCTACGCATAAAACTATAAATGCTGTTTATTTATTCTATTATGCTGTTCAAGAATCTGATGATAAAGCAATAAAAGGTAGATTACAGGCGCTAATTAAGGACGCGTTGATTTTGGCAAAATCGGTAAGTTAAATTAATGTACTTGTGATTATTTTAAAACTCACTAAAAATAATTATTAATGTATGCTTTCAGAAAAACGTTGATGTTTTTAATTGCCTTGACCTTATGGATAACAAATTGTTCATCGAGGATCTTAAGTTCGGACCCGGCGATGGATACTTAAATTATTGTGAGGGACAATTGGCGTTGTAAAGATATGGATAATGGAAAAATTGGTGTTGTCATATTATAATAATTTAAATAAACTTTATGGATTTGTGGAATATTTATCCATAGTCGCACAAATTGTAATCTATATGGGGTGACAGACATAATATTTTTAATTTATTAAAAAGTGTTTGGTATGTCTAAAAAATTATCGTGTTCACTAAAATATTTATTCACATAATGTATCCATAACTAACTGAAAAAAGGACAATGCTTTTTTGGTACTGCCGCTTATTTCTTAATGATGCTAATTTGTAGCGAGCATCATAACTTTAGATTTAGGATTTATCAATACGTATGTATATAAAAGATTAAAAAAATGGTGGAAAATTCAAGAATGATGAATTGTCATTTTGCTAAATATTGTATGTAGGGGTAGGATCTATAAACTTTAGATTATCTTAAATCGATAACGCAACTTACATGATTGATTTCTTTAAAGTTAAAGCGACAGATAAGCAGCCAATTACGAGAAACGAGAATGAGTTAGACCAAGTAAACCAATCTCATATCTCAAAGTTAATGTTGTAAAAGCCAATCAGAATCGATTATTTGAGTTAAATCAACCCAATATTTTGAGCGCGACGATTATTTAAATTATTACAAAGGTGTTTGAACTCAAATATAAACCATAAAATTCAATGTTTGTTACGTAGTCATTGACCAATATAAATTAGATTATTAATATATAGACTAAAAATTAAGCAAAAATTAAAACTTTTTTGTATATTACAAACAAAGTACTGTACAATTAATTAAATTTTTTTTTTTTTTGTCAATTCGGCAATCTTGCCAATATTTTATTAGGTATGATTATTTGAACTTGGGGGTAAAAATGCAAGTTTGACTAAAGTTACCTAAAGTCCACCTAAATTACAAATATTGACTAACCCGGCTCTTTGTGACACCAAAGTGCCCAAATTACCCATGTTCAATCTGCTATAGTAAAGTTTATCTCCATATCAAAAAACCCTGCAAATGAATTTTTCAATACATCACTGAATGGTATTTATGGCCTATCAAGATCACCTCCTTTCCTAACCTTCTTCTCCTAGCTTCTCGAGCAGAAGAATTCATAATCTCCAACCAACTTATAAAAAAAAACTAATACTAACAAAAAAAAAATAAGGAGAATAAAACAAAAGGGAAAAAAAAAAAAATGTCTAAGTAACAAGAAAACGAATAAAAAAAACAAATGAAAGAAGAAGAAAAAGGCAGAAAAAAAATAAATCTATAAAAGCACTATTATAGCCCATGCTAGGCACAGTTGTAAAAATTATATACCTAATTAAATTTAAACAAAACTAATTTTTAAATTTAAAAATCTTGTATATCTCTATTGTAAAGTTATGCTTTATTGTTAGAATTTTCTTCTGATTATTATATTCAATCTGGGTCAGTTTGTTAACCAGAGCACCAATTAGTTCATCATGTAATGTAGGGCTATTATTGCCAAAACAAAGTATAAACAATGCCAATCTTTTGGGAGAGTAAGCTAAAATGTCCACTTTTTTATTAAAAATTTTGATGAAGTTGGCAAAATATAAAAAAAAGAAAGAACACTTGAACATACTAAAAGAGTGTGAGTTTTCTTTACTAGAATCAACTATATATCTGAGCCTGCATAGTATTAAGTTTTATTGATAAGTAATAAACTCTAAACTTGTCAATAAGTAGAATATGAAAACTACTTCTAAACAACAAGTGTTGTGTCTTCAGTTAGTGAGTAATAAACTCTAAGGCTGTTAGCAGGTAGCGTATAAGAACTACTTTTAAATAATAGCTGCTAACTTAGAGGTCTCTTTTCCCATATCTTATATGCAAATCATCGACTCTACTCTAGTGCACTGTTTTTTTTTCTAATAAAAAGTTTTTTAAAAAATATGGTTCAAATGATTATTAGAAAGAGTTGAGTATTATATGACAATTAATTAATTACTATATAAGCTTTTTTATTAACAATCATTTTTTTATAGTCTCTATAGTTACAACTTTATATTTATAATAATACAAAAATTTTATTACTATTTTTTATAATTACAAATTGTTTATAATTACTATTATACTTTTTAGAAGCCTTTTAATAAAATTTTATTAATTTTGACCTGTGGGTTAATAGCATAGCGGTTATACTCCCAGGTTGTAAATCAAAAGTTGCTAGTTTAATTCCTCCTAGCGGCAAAATAATGAAAACCCAAATAAAGAAGTGAAACACTGCAGGGTATAGGAAACTTAGAATATCTATGAATGGACATATTTGAGAAATAATTATTCTGAGAAGTTGTAGCTATGAAACAAGGCGTATTAGAACCCCAATTGAAATAGCCGAAGTCACGAGACATAATATAAGGTCAAAGTCTAAGAGAATACTACATGAACTCATAGCAGCACCAGATTGGCTTGTGAAATAGAAGTCCAGCATAAGGTGTTTCGACCTCTTTGGAGTATCATGCAGGTGGTTGGATCTAGGCCCCAATAAGGAAACTGGAGAATGTTGGGCAATGAATACCAGGTGGATATATATAATACCTATATGAGATTATAAAGGTTCTGTAACACTAGTAGCATAGGGTCAACTATATAATAGCTAGAACCAAGTCACAGTGAGACTTGCCGAAGAAATAAAAAAAAAAAAAATTTTTATTAAATTTTTTTTTTTTTCAAAAAAAAAAACTTTGACAGTCTTGCCAGATTTTTATTGTGGAATTTTTAGCTTATATGATTATATATTAGTTGGTGATAAACTCTAGACATGTTGGCAAATAGCATATAAGAACTATTTTTAAATAACAGGTGCTATAATACACATATAATCTACTCAGCTCTTTGGATAAACTCTACTTAATCTAACTTTACCTAGTTACTATTTAAACATCTAAATGTGATCTGTTGTACTACATTTTGTAGAAAGTTTGCACTAATCTCTATCAAAAAGCCAAATAGCTTACTTTGCTAAAGTACATGTTCTACTTATATATTCATTTAAACTTCAGTAATCTATACTATAGCTTAACTTATATACTTAGAAGTTACTCTATAATTATTTGCTTTTGCTCTTGTCAGGTTTACAATAATCCTAGTATCTACATTTAGATTTTTTTTCTATCTCTAAATTTCTTATTGGTTTATTTTTTATTTCTAGCCAGTAGTCTATTGATTTGTCTAGGCTTTATATACTTTATAGTTTTCTTTATTTTAAAAAGTTTTGCTAGTGTTTTATTAAAAATCTAAGTATATTATTAAATTAATATATTTGTTTACTTTTAATTTGCAAATCTGATTGATATACAACTCTTCCCGACAATTACTCGTATCTAAAATTTAACAAACAGAAAATAGAACTTTTGGTGGAGAGATGTGGCCTTCTTGTGGTTTGTCTATAGGTTAACTGCTTTTCTAAGAGACTTCTCTAAAGTAAATATTTGGCATACAAGCCAGGAGTATTATTATACAAGATAACTAGCAGGTGGTGCTCTTGTATAAAAAATCTTAATGAAGTGTGGCAATGAACTCGCTTATTTCGTCAATGAAGCAAGTTGGCTGTTACTTCAAACACAGGAGAAACAACAAAGTTCTAGTGATCCAACACACTCTTTAAAATTTAAAAATATCTGCAACTATATACCTACAAACATATTCTTGCAGTTTTGGAATTTTTGGCCAAAAAGTGGAAAAATCGGTATATCCTCTCCAAAAGATTAGCAGTATTTACTCTTTCCAAATTAGAACATATTTATCGAAATAAAACCTCTCACGAGCTTATTTGGATTCTGCTTTGCCAAATAAACAATGATAGCAGTACTGTTTACAGTATAGAGGATTGGAGAGATTACATGTAAAAATTTCTTAATATTAGACTTTTTTTTTTTCTTTTCACTTCTTTTAATATATATATTGTTAGATTAGATTTTTTTTTCTATGCAACATTATATAATTTTTATAGCCTAACATAGACAATAATAGTGTCATCATGGCTATCTTTTTTTTGGCCTTTTCCTTCTTGTTTCCTTTTTTACTTTGTTTGTTTTTTTTAGTTTTATTTAGCTTAGACTTTTTCTCTTTTTAGTTTTCCTTTTATTTCGTATTTGTTTTTTTTTCTTTTGTTTTTCATTGGTAGTCTTCTACCTAGAAGGCTAGGAGAAGAAGGTTGGGAAAGAAGGCGGTCATGACAGGCTGGTAAACCAGCCGGGGATGGATCAGTTGAAGTGAAATAAGCCAAACCTAACCGGAGAGATTGAACTCATCTTTAGTAGGTTGTACATAGATCCAATTAGAAACCAGGTAAGCTACATTCCAGATTTTTTGCAATAAAGCATAATGTAATTCAGACAATTTCTTTGGAAAATGTAGTACCTCATCAATAAAGCAGATATGTAACATAGCTATCAAATTTTTTTTAAAAAAAAAAAAAAATTTGCAAATCTTATATTATTTAGCTATCCTTAAAATACTTAAGTATAACAAAACAACTCTTTGCAACGATCACTTGAACCAAATTTTGCTAAAAAAACTTTTTAACAAAAACAGTAGAAACTGACTAGCCAAACTACATAAAATGTGAAAAGAGAGACAGTAAGTCAGCACCTGTTGTTTAGAGGTAGTTCTCATATGTCAGGCTTAGAGTTTATCACTTACTGCAAACTTGGCACTTGTTGTTTAAAGATAGTTCTTATCCCTTAATATGTAGACCAACGCAGACAAATTTGCCTGCGTTTTTGCACTTTTTTAGCTCTGATTTACTTTTTTA